AATTATTTAAGTTGTTGATAACTACAATTATTTTCTTAGTTGCAAATTGGAGATTTCTTTGGTTTCCATGTGGCCTCCATTTTTGCAATTAGATTACTTATCTTTTTAAAGTCCATTATATCCATTATTTTTACCTTAAAGCAGGGTTTTCCTCTGAAATCTGCCTTGCAGATCTGTATTGCATGTTCTGTATTTGTTCCTCATCTGGAAATCGCATTATCAGTTGGATTTCTATAGAACGAATGTACCATATACAACTATGTCCCACAATGCAGAATGAAGAGAATACTTTAATTTTATATTTTGGATTGTTAATGCCTATAAGACTCATACCTCTTCCTTTGACGTTTCTGTAATCTTTTAGAATAGAAGCTGTGTGATTTTCATTATTGATGGTCCATGTACTTTAAATAAGTAGCTGTAAAACTGTACTGTGTGCAACTTGGCATGTACATGCTACTGCTGTACACACTAACAAAAACTCCTAGCAAGAAATTTTAGATAACTAGGGACTGATGCAGCTATTCAGTAGGCTGAGTGACAAATTGAGGTCACTCAAAAGGAGTTGATCTGATCAAGGTTAAAAGAAAATCTAAAATGCAATTTAGATGCATACTGCAATCTACAGTCGTTTTTAAAAGCCTTGGGCCAGCACACAGCTTTTACTTACCACAGTAGTGCCAACCTGAGGGACATAAGTGCTTCCAGTTTTTTTAATGCTGAGATGATTTCCTCCCCACACAGCGGCTTTAATAGTGTCCAAACAGTGCACTGCCTAGCCTTACTTTAGACTCTCAGGGGCTAGGTCTCTTCTCACATCAGTTTCACACTTGTGTAACTCCACGGACTTCAGCGAAGCTACGGTACTCCTGATTCTCAGAGTCAGACCCTTGATGCACCATTTGTTTGTCAAATGTTTCTATAATTAAACAAACAGGGGAGAATGTGTCCTGGACACAAATTTGCATACAACGAAAGCTTCAAAGGCTCCCCACTGCAATTGCCTGCATGGCTTGATCTCCATTCCTCACTGTGAGAAATCTTGTGTGGTATGAGGAAGATATGAAAATTGACCTGCTGCTAATGTTGTGGTAATAAATCTGGTACCTAGATTAGAGTTTTCTTTTACTATGTCTATAGCATCATATTCTGACATTCCCCAGGGTACAGTCTGAACTGTTGAACAGCGGTGTCCCCATAACTCTCTAGCCTGGGGTGCCTTTTACACTCCTTTGCTGCCAAAGCAACCACACCGAGCCTGCCCACATACAGCCACTAGCATGAAAAATTACTCCCAGCTATGTTACATGAATGCTCTCCCAGCCATTCATGAATTTCATACTGGGTGACACTCAAATATTCTTCAGGTCTTTAGGCACCTTTAAATACCTTTAAAAATCTGGCTGCTGATCTGCAAAATGCAATTACGATACTTACCATCCTTTAGAAGAGGCTTTGAGGTCTATGAATTAAAATAGGTATAGGAGAGCTAAGAAAAGTTACTATGTAGCAGTATCTGAAATCACTATAGGTTTTTTCTCTGTATCTAGAAGACATAATTGTATGATCACTCTGTGGAATCTGTTGGCAAGGGGGAACTACTTAACGGCAATCCCTGTTGACTACAAGCCCTTTGGGGATACAGATTTTCTCCCCTACATGGTTCTGTGCAGCACTAAGAATGCTGACAGCACCCAACCAATAATGATCCATTTTAAAGAGGAACTGCAGCTCTCAATGTTCTTTTTTCTGTGTGTGACAGGGATTTTGTGAGCAATTTTGGGGGAGCCCTTAAAAATGGCAGCTGTTTAAATGCTTGGAGATTCTTCTAACCCTAAAGTAGAAATACAGTTCTCTCTACTGGAAAAGCAGGGTGCTGATTACTGTACATATCGTCTGCCATGTGATTGGAAAAGGGGTCCAAGCAAGTTTATGCCCTGTCTGTCGTTGTAACCCACACACCTCCTGGGTGTGGGGCTCTGTCCCATCTAGTGGCACCAAGACCACTTAGTGAGAGAGATTAATGAGTCTAGTCTATAGCCTTAGCTAAGAGCCATATGGCTTAAGACTCATGCATTTAGCACTAGAGGTCCCAGGTTCTATACCACCCGCCGGCAACCAAGCTCTGTCAGTGTTACATAATGACCTTATCAAACCACATCCAGGGCCGTCTTTAGGCCGATTCAACCAATTCCCCTAAATCGGGCCCCGTCCCTAAGAGGGCCCCGCGCCCAAGCCCCAGTACAGCGTACTGGCAAGAGCTGGTGCGCTCTACCGAGGTGGCCCGGCTTCCCCAGGGGGCAATTTAAAGGGCCTGGGGCTCCCAGCAGGGGCTGGAGCCCCAGGCCCTTTAAATTGCTACCAGAGCTCCACTGCTGGAGCCCTGGGGTAGGGCTGCGTGGCTCTGGGGGCTATTTCAAAAGTCCAGGGCTCCCGTTGCTTCTATCACCCTGGCCCTTTAAATAGCCGCTGGAGCCCCGCCGCTTCCCCAGGGCTCCCGCAGCTATTTAAAGGGCCGGGGCGGTAGAACCAGGGGAGCCCCGGGCCCTTTAAATAGCCCCCGAACCCCAGGCTGCTGCTGCTACCCCGGTGGGGGAGGGAGGAGGAGGAGGGGGCACTCACCGTACAGGGTGGGCTGTACCCCCTGTACCTGCACCCCCTGCCCGCACCAGCCCCGCACCCCCTGCCCGCAGCCAGCCTGTCTCCAGCCAGCCCCGCCGCACCCCGTGCCCTTCCCGCACCAGCCCTGCACCCCCTGTCCTGCCCGCACCAGCCCTGCACCCCCTGTCCTGCCCACACCAGCCCCGCACCCCCTGCCCTCAGCCAACCCCTGCCGCACCCCCCTGCGGCCCTGCCTGAAGCCAGCCAGCCCACCTCACACCCCCCTGTCTCCAGCCAGCCCCGCACCCCTTGCTCTGCCTGCAGCCAGATCCTACCTCCAGTCAGCCCCTGCCCTGCCTCCAGCCAGCCCCATGTCCACTGGTGCCCTGCAGTTCCCAGGGCAGTAACCCTGCACACCTGCTTCAATGAGGGGGGCAGGGAACAGCTGGGACCCACACATGTGCACACACCCCCAGGGAGTGGTGGGGACCCACACATGAAACGGAGCTCATTTCTAGTTCAGGCCCATCTTTTTAAAAAAGAACTTTAGGTAGGGTTAACATACATCCGTATTTTCCCGGACATGTCAGGCTTTTTGGTTTTTAAATCGCCATCCGGATTTAAAAATTTCTCCTGAGAAAATACGGACGTATGGTAACCCTATTGGTACAAAAAATACATACTGTGGCATATCCCTTAAATCAGAACTTTTTATAGGGAAACGGTTGCTAAGAAATGAAAGGCTTTTTTTTACGTTTTTTTTTTTAAATCATCCCTGCCGAGGTCCCGCCGAAAATGTTCGAATTGGGCCCCGCACTTCCTAAAGCCGGCCCTGACCACATCTGTAGCAATAATAATCACAAAAGGACTTTTAAAGCTACTTAAAGAACACAGGAATAAAAGGCGAAGTGCTGTATACTAAAAGTGCAGCAGTAGACATAGCGTTATACTCTTCCCATGTAAATTATTGAGAGTTATGCACATGTATCAATAAACTCAGTAGTGTGCTTACATCATATTCTGTTCTCATACCTCACAGATCCCCAGCTCAATAACAAATAAGATCACACAATCATTATTGCTTTCACATAGAACTTCTTAGAGCCTGATAACCACAGAGAATTGTATCTTCTATAGGGTAGGAGCAAAAAAGTTCTCCACAGGCTAGGGTGGTTTACATACATAAATCAGAAAACCCACACAATTTTATACCTTCTCAAAAACAGGACACATAGGCATTGTAGGGACAGCACTGTGCAAAATACTATCGTATGCTCATTTTTTTTTCCACTTCTTGCTTACAGAGCTATATTTCTGATACAATTTGGACACCACTGTGCTGATGGGTACAACATAAAAACCTAGCTAGACAGAAAACAAAATTTACAAATGGTGGTATTATGTACTTTACTAACACAAGGGAACCTTTTATGCCAACTATTCAATAATACATTTGGTACTAAGGAATACTGAAATGTTACCAATCACAAAGAACATAGAAAATATTGTTAAGGGGCCCCGAGAGAGGATGCTGTACTTTGTCATGTTTACTCTGTGGTAGCAAACCTGATTTGAGGCTAATTAAGGCTTTCCCACATTGAGCTTTCAATGTCTGTGAACAAGTTCTCAGTTTATGGAGAAAGTTTGTGTGATTCATCTTGCATAAGGACCCCTAGCAGCTTGTGTAGAGCAGCATTGTGGTCCGAGGGGGAAACGGTGAAGCCAATCAAATCCGAAATCAGGTGTTTGGCAGGGAAGGTGCACCCATAGGAGGGCAGGGAAGGTGCACCCATAGGAGGGAAGGCAGAGGGAAGGTGAAATGGCCACTGCAAGTTTGTGGGAAGATGGTAGCCTAGTGGTGGGGAGGGATAGCCCAGTGGTTTGAGCATTGACCTGCTAAACCCAGGGTTGTGAATTCAATCCTTGAGGGAGCCATTTGGAGCAAAAATCTGTCTGGGGATTGGTCCCCCTTTGAGCAGAGGGTTGAACTAGATGACCTCCTGAGGTCCCTTCCAACCCTGATATTCTATGATAGTGATACTTACCATGGAATCATTCTGAAGTTCCAGCCTCAGGAAGCAGAGAGGCCTTCGGAAAAGGTATTAGTCAAGATTAGGTGAGAGGAAGAATCTTATCTCCACTCCCCGCCTCACACCAGCTGTCCAGAAACATTGAAATTTCTATCAAAGGGATAAAACAAAGGAAATTCTGAGTGAGAAAGCTTTAATTCAGCTGCATTGTGCCTGGGCTTTTTTGCACAGATGGTCTCAGAATACAAGGAAATATTTCATACACTTTGCATATTTGAAACAATACTTGCTCTAAAGATTACCAGTGAGGCGACTGAGTAACTGAACTTCATCACAATATTCTTTTTGGCTTCTTTCCTGTTGTTGCAGGTGATTACATAGTCATGACTATATACTTCGATTTAAGTAGAAGAATGGGATACTTCACTATTCAAACATACATACCCTGCATCTTAACAGTTGTGTTATCCTGGGTATCATTCTGGATTAAAAAAGATGCTACACCAGCAAGAACAGCACTAGGTAAGGTCTTAATTCTTTCTGTTCTATCACTGTGTTGAATATTAACAAATATCCTGCTTTACCATTTGAAAATTTCATCTCCTTTCCAATTAGGAGACCAATGTCTCTGGGCATTAGATATGTACTGTACATCGTCACAGCCAGCTCCTACAGGCCTAAAAGCCAGTTGTGACAAGGGAATTTGGTATTTGAGTTTTAAAGGGACAATTAAAAATAAATGACTCTGCCACCTGTTTTGTTTGCATAATAGCTCAGAATAAATGATTGCTTCGCTAATCCTTCTGTGGTTTCTCTAGTAGGATTTTTGAATGATAGGCACAGTAGACTGCTTCCTTCCTTCCATCCTTAAGCTGCTGTTCCTTATGTTATATTTATAGACAGACAAATGTTGATGGATAAGAAGAAATTTGTCCAAAATGATGATGCTTGAGTGCCTAGAGCTAGGTACATAAATAAGAGTCCTGTTTTTCAGAGGTGCTGGCAGCTCTCCAACACCTCTGAAAATCAGGTCACTTATATAAGTGGCAAAGTGTGGATTTAGGAGCTTAAATGTAGGCTATGTTAAAAATAATTGGGCAGAATTTTCAAAGTCTAACACAAAAACTTCAGGCTGTGCAAGTATCAGGAACACAGGGGCGGGGTTATAATAGGAGATTAACTATGTACACATTAAAACAGAAGGAAAGACATTGGGGCTGGTATGCCTGAGCCCTGGTCAGTGCACCATCCCAGGAATAGAACATGGGAAATTTTGCCTCAAGGAAGCATAATCTTTCCAAGAGCTGCTCTGCACCCAGTGGGATACTCACTTTGCACAACTCTTATGCTGACACAAATAGCCTGTCCCTTTAGAGAAAATACCAGGGGTGGGGGATGGCAGATGGAGGGGGATCAGGGCTGTAGTCTCACTACCCCCTTTTGGCTGAGTAGTTCCCTAGGAATGAACAGGGACTGCTGTTGCGGGGGGCAGGTGGGGAGGGCCCCCTATAACGGGGGAGGTCTTTTTCACAAAGCTTTCTGACCCTCCTAGCAGCTATGCACAGGTCATCACCATCTGCCCCTTTTCTATATAGGAAAAATTCTTTTAAAATGACTTATTGAACCGAAAATGATCACGAGTCCTTATCTAAACCTGTTTCTGCAAGCTAGCTTACTAAGATCACACTGGGGAGCTAGACTCTTAGAGGAATTCCCCATTCTCACGAGTTTGTTCTCTCACAAAGTCACAAGAGGAAGCCATTTAGTTCAAGACTGCAATGTTTATTGGCTGTTCAGAGTGCCTCAGTCTAGCATTATCATTTTTTCCAGCAAATGAGTGAATCAGGGCAGCCACCCACCTCCTGAGTGATGTAGCTTCCAGCTCAGAACACAGAGCTCTGGAGGCAATAAAGATGAAAATTTCAAACGTGCTTAAGGGATTTAGGAGCTTATATCTCACCAGAAGGCTTTGGACTCCTAAATACCTTAACCACATTTGAAAATTTTAGCAGAGTCCGTAACTCAGTGAGGCATGTTGCTGTGCAGCCATTTATTAAGGTTTGTCAGCACCTGGCCTGAAACATTCTGCATCACATAAATGAGCAAAACTAACATCTTAAAATGATGGTCCAGCTCATCACGATGAATGACAGCAGAAATATGTTACTAAAAATATGTTTTAAGTATAGGCTTTCCACTAGCTACCACTTTGTTTCAGCAATGAATCCAAACATCAGCGGTTCCTGCTGTAAGTACACAGCCCATCTTGCTACAGGGTTAAATGAGCCTTTATTCTTAGTGAATGACAGGGGACATCTCTTCAAGTCATAGATGGTTCATTATGATGGAGGTATGCAACAGGAGCAGTAACGGGAAGAGACTTGGGAGAACTTGCAATAAGACTGCTGAGAGCATACATTAGTTAATTAAAAACAAATAATGCAACACTAAAAAATTACTTCCCATGAGGTCAACACAAAATCATAAATGTCCCAATTCCACTCCAGAAATTCACAAACCTTAGCAACCCTTTTGACAAGTGTGTTCTGATTTTCTGCTTGGGTGTAACACTCCAAATCCTGCTGAGTGTTGCATTGGTAAGCTTTGAATTGAACAGCTATATACTATAAATGTCCTTCAGAATTCCAGATATGCATAATTTGAACCCCATTTTCCAGAAACAAAAGACTGGAGGCCTGATTCTTATTTACAGTATTGTGTCTCTACATTGCTACTCTAGCAGTAGAAAGGGGCTTTAAAATTTTAAGGCCATTTTCAACTGCCAATGGGGTATAAGGAGGCCTTACTGTAAATGAGAATCAGGCCTTATGGTACTAATGCAATTCTCTTAAATTAGCTGTATCAATAGAGACACGGAAAGATTAACCACAGTGTGTCAATAAACGTGTGAGACAATATTGTGTACTGAAGAATCACAAATCACCCATCTGGATTATGTTTCACAATGCCTGATTTTCATTAAAAACAACAAACCAGGAGAAAAAAAAAGTGTCAAGTGCTTTCTCTTACTAGAAATAGCTTGCTTGTGCGCTATCTCTCAGAAAGCTCATGTACTTATACTGCATAGGTCCATTTCCAAACTAATTAGACAAGAGTGAAGGTTAGAATTTTAGTCACACCAATGTATTGTCTTGAATGTTCCTGAAGACCTCTATCCAGTAGGAACAAGACATTCTGATAGCAATGGGTGAGTGTCAAATTAGAAACTAAGCTAAAGTTTTCCAAGCAGTCTAGATCTAGATGAATTAGGTGCCCAACTCTTTTTGGTTAGATAGAGTTCAGAGAAGTCCATGTGGATATAATTCTGAGACATAACTAAACCTTTAGTTACTGGTCTAAAAATATAAATTACATCAAGCAACTAGAAAGTAATGCATAGGTGGGACGTATGTCCTTGTGCCCCATCAGAGCCCAAATGTCTCCCAATGGTCAGTTTACTGTAAATCTTCAGAATAGCCACATTAGTGCTCTTTATTTGCTTTAGTGCACTTACATAATTTGAACAAGAAATCTGTCTGAATTGAAAAGTAGCATACATTGTACCCGCTTCTAAAAATAGTACAGTGTGCATTTGTGTGTAACACAGCTAACGGCTACTCACTGAAATCATCCTGGGTTTTCTAGATCATTAATGCTAATCAGTCAAAATGATTTATAGACTTGGGGAAGGGGGCAAATTTGCCCCTGATGTAACTTCATTAACTTAAATGGCGTTACATCAGGGAAAAAATTTCACTCCCTGAAATTAATGAGTAATGTGCTGAGCTATTGGCAACTGCTCTGGGTTGTATGAAATAAAGGCTTTACCCCCCTTCTGCACAGCTATCAGTAATGAGCTAGATATATACTGAAATATACTGAAATAATGAAATAAGGGATATTTAGTTCTGAGAGGACAATAGAACTGTAGTAATAATCCCTATTGTGGCACGGCACATACACAAACACTAGCACCTGAATATGAAGATCTCAAAGCGTTTCTTTTTTAAAAGATGGGTGTCATTTTCCCCTGCTTTACAAACCAAGGGATGAGGAACAGAGAGATGAAGTTACCCTCAGATCACACTGAGTCAGTGTCAGAGATAGGCAGATAACGCACGAGTCCTGACTGCCAGTTATGTGTTCTAACCACTAGACTATGCTGCCTCCTTGTGTAAATGCCTCAATCTACAGGGCTGGAATTGCTTTCTAATATTTGTACTTCTCATTAACTATGAAAATTACCTTCTTCCAAAGCTACCAATCTAGATATGTTGACAGGTGTTTAAAGAGAAGAAAAATTACACTGGGTAAACTATGGGGGTGTTTTTTATTGAAATTCAGAGGGTTTAATTTAACTGAAGTTTTCAGCAAACTGCCTTCTTCTGATATACTGTATCTATATACATATATAGGTAGGGTGTTAGCGCATTCCATTATCTGATACTATTATGGTTATGTTACCATATCGCATCTGAAATTGCCCTACGATGGCACTTAATAAAAACTCACATCACTTTCCTTTCACTTCCATCCTTCAGTCACTTACATTTTGAAAATGAATTTAGTGTTCATGAAAGTTGCCAAGATTGGAAGACGGAGAAACTGAAATTCTTACCTACAAACTAGCTACAGCTTGGGCAACAATCTTCCCCATGCTGCCCCCTCAACGTGCCATTATTCTTGCCTGGCAGAAGATACCCTTAGATGTAAGAGGGCAATTGAGCCTCTCTAACCATGTAATCCATGAGTCCTCTGAGACTGCCAGATTCAGACCACTAATTTTCTTTGCATAGTGAAGTCCTGTAAGCAGCTATCAGATGGTAAAATATTAATGTAAGTATTGATCATGATTAAATTCATACCAGTGACCTAAAGGTAAAACATTGTTCACCCATTCTGAATCCCCTGAGCTATCTTAGTTTGCTGGAAAGTCTTATTTGATTTATAAAATAGTAAATTTAGTATTGATGTCACTGACAGAAAATAAATTTAAACACATACACTTCTCTGACTGAGGGCATTAACGCCAGCTGTGACATGAAGCTGCGGAAATGAGATCAGGATGACTGATAGTAATTTCAGATCTTTGGTAGGTCTTAAAAAACTGACAGACAGTTCTGGAGCATTGCAAATTTTAGAACAGGGTGGAAGGCTCTTCCCACAATAAGAGGTCTATCATAGAACCTCCTGGACATCATCCACCAAAATGATCTCACACAGAGTAGCAGTGAGGCCAGGGTAAAGAATCTAGATACTATTTTGGGGAAAAAATAGGTGTTGGTTCTTATTGATGTATATGGCATCTAGATATACGCTCGATGTATAGTGTTTTTTGCTTTTTGTTCCATTCCTGCTCACTATGTGATACTATAAAACAGATTTTAATGTTTAAAAACAGTGTTTCTATTGCTTATACACAATGGACTAAATTTTTATTACTTCAAAAATAGCTTTCAGTGCTTGTTTATTGTATTTGTTCTCAGGGTAGCCCCTCCCACCATTCACATCACCCTGGTTAC